GGTGTAGTGGGCACACTGGGTACACTGTGTATACTGGGGGAATAGGGTATACTGGGAACACTGGAGACACTGTGTACACTGGGAGCACTGGGTGTACTCTGCACACTGGAGACACTGTGTACACTGGGAGCGCTGGGTGTAGTGGGCACACTGGGTACACTGTGTATACTGGGGGAATAGGGTATACTGGGAACACTGGAGACACTGTGTACACTGGGAGCGCTGGGTGTAGTGGGCACACTGGGTACACTGTGTATACTGGGGGAATAGGGTATACTGGGAACACTGGAGACACTGTGTACACTGGGAGCGCTGGGTGAACTTTCATTCATTGGATTTCAGTTCTCTCCATTATGGAGCTAGAACTTTCCCAGCAGGTGTTGCTCTCTCTGATGTGGGCTTCTGATAGAGGAGAGAGGCGAGCACACTGTCTCAATTCTCCCCCCTCAGCAGGTATGACATTGTTATCGGGGTTCTGGAAGTCTACATAGGAGGAATTAGAGCTCTGCAGCAGCTTTAGAAGAAGTCTTTGGACTTTGAAGAGGAAATAGCTGTACTCTATATCTCCATCTCTCCATGGTGGGGGTGAGATACTGATGGGACATTTCTGGCAGAATTGGGGGGGAGCGGAACAATCTGAGATGAGTCATCTCTAACCGGTGACTGGAACCCGCGCGTCTTCATCTGATTCCATCTCTGCGGATCGGTTCTCTCGTTAACAGTCATGGAAATGTCACTTTTTCTTTCTTCTCTTTCAGCTCAGCCAGAACACCGTTGTCTAGTTGGCGTGGGAGGTGCTATGGGGATGATCTCAGAATTTAACGAATGGATTTTGAAGAAATCTAAAATTGCCGGGCCCTGTCCCTGCTGTCCTATGTAATGGATCCAGAGAGAACCAGCCGGCAGCACACCCAAGCATTCAACGTCTATGAGTAAGCCCAGTGCTGGGTGAAACACATAACGGGAGGAGGTCCCGTGTGGGGCTTCTTGAAGTTTGTCCTGGAATAATAGATGTTATAGTGGGGGAGAATGGCAGAGAATGAGTGAGGACAAGGGATATCATTTGTGGAGAGTAAAATGGGTAGTGTGGTATTGTGTGGCAATCCCGCTGTAGAATTGGATGTGATGAGCACCGGGGACTCTCAGCCAGATGGGCTGAGACGTTTCAGGAAGCAAGGGATTGTTCGGATTCTGCTTGGGATCCTGGAACTGGGAGGTTTCAAGGTGATTCTGGAGGAAAGATGAGATCCCTAGTCCTGGGTCCAGGCTTTAGCAGTGGCCAGCACTCGATGATTGCACAGGTGTGCGCAGCCATTAAGAAAAGGACGCTGGCTTAGGGGGAATTGGCTCCTGCTGGGAAAGAGGAACAGACCGTGTTCAGGTGTCAGGAGAACACCCCCCAGAAGTCAGAGAGGAGTCAGGTAGTGAGTGTGCTGGAGGCACACTAGGACAGCCAGGGAGGCTGGGAGAGAACTGGTGAGGCTAGAAGAGCCGTGAGCCTGAGGGGCCACCAGTATAAGCGTGGGTCAGCACTTCAAAGAGGACCAGTGGGTCAGAAGTGCTACTGTTTAAAGTGGAAGGCAGGAGGCTGCTATTGTGTTGTTTTGAAGCCTTGCAAGAATGTTATGTTGAACAACCCCTGCGAGGGGATCCAAGATGGACGTATGAACTTTGTTTTGAATAAAAGTGGGCTACCGACCCCTTAAACCGAAGATATTGCGAGTAGACTGCATTCTTAAGCGCTCACCATATATGCCAATATCCCCAAACATCACAGTAGGTATGGGAGATTAGTTTTACACAGGGTTCGTTAAAGTAAATTGATTATATGTTTTTTTTTTGTAGATAAAGGACTCACTGTAAGGAATAATGAGAACACAAGTATTAGTGGGAGGGTGGGATAGGGAGTAAAGGGCAAACAACACATTTTGATCAGAAGGTTACTGTTTACAGACATTTTAGTACAGATCACATACAAGGAGAGCGCACAAAGTAGAGTGAGGAATATACATAAAGGAAGGTTAGAGAGGGAAAGTTGGTCTTAGGACATGGTTTGAAGAATCTAACAGGGAAGAGGTTCACATAAATTCACTTAGTGACTCCCCCCCCAGACGAGGACATGGTGGTAGTGTAAATGTGAGAAGAGAGTAGAAGAGAAAGTGACGGGTGATGTGAGGTTGGGTAATGTAAAATGAATGATTAGAGATATGAATGAAGGTAAAAGTAAGGCACTAGATGTTTTTTTTTAGAGACGCGTATAATTTATGTTATTTATGGGATACAATTATGTCTTAATCTCTATTATGAAGATATGTATAAATGTGTTTATGTGAAATAATAATAAAAACTTTATTACACAAAACAGATGGAATAGTGTGCTGTCGGCTAGACTTGTGCGCCGTCAAAAAATTTGTTTCGTTCCGTTTCGGAATAATCCGTTATTTCGTAATTCGTGTCCGAAACTCAATCCGGATTCGTACGAAATACGGATTTTCGTTAGTTTCGGCACATTTTCGTAACTTTACAAAAACATTCGTTATGATGAAGTTAAAAAGCAAAAATACCTTTGTTAATATTGGAGTCGATGTGGTAGTTGTTTTTTTTATCCGAAATACGAATTCCGTTAACGGATTCCGGATCCGAATTTCGTATTTCCTGCCTGTATTGTAATGCAACCCTCAGCAGCAGAAGAGAAAACCTCTGATTGGTCAACCAAACGAAATACGAATTCCGTTAACGGATTCCGGATCAGAATTTCGTATTTCGTATAAAAAAAAAAACTACCATCAATCAACTCCAATATAAATGTACTTTGCTTTTTAACTTCAATATAACGAATGTTCGTAATGGACCGTCAACGGAATTTCGTATTTCCCGCCTGTGTATTGTAATGCGACTCTCAGCAGCAGCGGATCCGAATTTCGGATTAAAAAAAAAATCTTGTCACGTTGTTCCTCATTTACAGGGGTAATATTAGTTCCCATTTCAAATAAATTCGGAACCGAAATTCGTTAACGGAATTTCGTATTTCGGATATAATTCGGAAACTGCAATTCGGATTTCGGATGCTTCCAAATTTACGAATTTCAGGAAAATTCGTACGAATTTCGATTCGTAACGAAACAGATTGCACATGTCTAATGTCGGATGGTTTTCTCTGGTCGTGTTGAATGATCCTCTGAAGTTTATTTGCAGTGACCCCAAGGAAACTATTTATATACAGTATATCTGATGTACGTCAGTTGACATAGTATCGGGGAAATAATACACACAATGTGACGGACTGAACCGTCACTGGTGCTGTTGGAGGAGCCTGGGGGCTAGCCTCCTTCCAACTGACTATGGACCCAGAACTATGGAGACCCCCCTCGGACTTCTTGGGGTTACAATGAACCATTCTACCAGGTTTATGTGTGGGGGGATGTACTGTACATGTTCCCTGGCATTACATTTGGATGGCCCTGTGTGTATTATAGGTACAGGCTGTGACTCCAGGAGCACTGAAGGGGGATAATTCTGGACATTGAACTGTTACAGTTTATTGGTCCTTTTGTTGTATTGTGTTGATGATGGGATTAGATAGCTGATTCTAGGAGTAGCTGACTCCAGGTGTAGATGAGTAAATCACACTATGATACACTCAGGAGATAATCCCATCACATGTGTCTCCTCCCTCCCTATTCATTCATTAAGGCATCGGGGAGGGGGAGTGGATGTTTGCATGCTGTTCATGTTTGATTGCGTTATGTGTTTAGACTTCTTGGACTGTATATATACTGAGCTAGTCTTCAATAAAGCAGATCCCTGTTGGAACTTACATACAGCCTGCCTGGTGTTTGTTCTGAGCTGGATTGGAACGGCACATAGCTGTAGTTCGAATCCCGGATTATCTGACGATCGAAGGATCAGACGTTGCGGTCTGACATCTGATCCAATAGTAGCAGAGGAGTGCCGGGAGAGTGGAACCGAGCGAGCAAGGGGCTCGTTACACACAATATAAAGAATGAAGAATAGGCTACAGTTGTCATTGCGCAATAGGGCCACTAATCAGAACGGGACCAAGTGCTATATGCCCCTGACCCCCCGGCAGTTATATATTTATATATATATTCTTCTGTATTATTGAGTATTAGTCACACTCTAACAGCTGTTTACATGACAAGTGTCCTGTGCTTCAGTCTTTGCAATGTGCCATAAGCAGAGTCCAGGCGATGGTCTTGCCGTCCTAGCCACCAACAGCGCCCATCTCTCTCCAGGCATGCCGTACGAATGGCCAAGATAAGAACTTCATATGAAGAATATATATATATATATTCTTCATATGAAGTTCTTATCTTGGCCATTCGTACGGCATGCCTGGAGAGAGATGGGCGCTGTTGGTGGCTAGGACGGCAAGACCATCGCCTGGACTCTTCATATATATATATATTCTTCTGTATTATTGAGTATTAGTCACACTCTAACAGCTGTTTACATGACAAGTGTCCTGTGCTTCAGTCTTTGCAATGTGCCATAAGCAGAGTCCAGGCGATGGTCTTGCCGTCCTAGCCACCAACAGCGCCCATCTCTCTCCAGGCATGCCGTACGAATGGCCAAGATAAGAACTTCATATGAAGAATATATATATATGAAGAGTCCAGGCGATGGTCTTGCCTTCCTAACCACCAGCAGCACCCATCTCTCTCCGGGCATGCCGTACGAATGGCCGAGATAGAACTTCATATGAAGACTATAAATATATGAAGAGTCCAGGCGATGGTCTTGCCGTCCTAACCACCAGCAGCACCCATCTCTCTCTGGGCATGCCGTACGAATGGCCAAGATAAGAACTTCATATGAAGAATATATATATATGAAGAGTCCAGGCGATGGTCTTGCCGTCCTAGCCACCAACAGCACCCGTCTCTCTCCAGGCATGCCGGACGAATGGCCATGATAAGAACTTCATATGAAGAATATATATATAAATCCAGCAATGCAGTCTGAAGGGGCGATGAGGATTACACAGATATATTTTTACTCCTCCAGGATTTGGTGAGGCACCTTCTGATCTCCTTCACTCCCAATCCATAGACAAAGGGATTTAGAGAAGCCGGGGTCATGTGGTAGACTGCACTGAGCACGTTCTTAATGTCAGGAGTAATTTGCGTGTGTATTCTTGGCATAACAGAAGACAACAAGGCAGCTAGGTAAATAATCATGGCCACCGTGAGGTGGGTGCCACATGTGTTTAAGGCTTTGTGACGAGCTTTCCCAACAGCAATCTTGAAGGCTGTGTAAAGGATGCAGGAGTAGGACAGCAGAAGAAGACCGACATCGCTCACTGTGGCCAAGATCCTGACCACGAGGCCTACAGCCTGCTGTTTGGAGATATCTCCGCAGGCAAGACCGAGAAGCCCCATGTTCTCACAGACAAAGTTCAGAATGATGTTAGACCCGCAGAAGTAGGCAGTAGAAGTCAGTATGACCACTGGTGAAATGAAGAGGGTACTCCTCCCGATCCCAGCCACAGACAACTGGACCAGCAGACGTGTGGTCATGATATCGTTGTATCGTAAGGGTCTACAGACGGCTATGAACCTGTCCAGGGCCATTGAGAGCATGACAGCCGACTCAAACAGAGAAATAAAGGAAATATAGAAGATCTGAATGAGGCAGCCGGTCAGAGAAATCTGGTTCAAGTCAAAAGACAAACCAACCAGAAATGTTGGCAGGATGGAAGTTATGTAGGCGATATTAATGGTAAAAAGAAGTGAAATGAGGAAGTACATGGGCGAGTGGAGGCTCGGTGCAACGGAGATCCGATAGATGACGAGGAGGTTTCCGGACAAGATGATGATGTAAATGACAGCAAATGGGATTATTAACAATTCCTATTTTTTATTATGCCGGGAAACCCAAAGAGGACAAATTCTGTGTAGGAAGTGAAGGTCTCGTTCTGGGTCAGTCCTTCCATGGTGGAAAAGATGAGGCCTTCAAATCAAGAACTATGTCTGAAGGAAGCAAAAAAAAATACGGAGACAGGAAATGAGATGGAGCTATAATAAATTTTTCAACTAGTTTGTGATAACTCAGTGTGTGGGTGGGGATAGAGTCCCACCCAACCGCCCCAACTGGCACAGCTTAGAGATGAACAAACAGGTTGTGCTCATTTTACATTTTGGAGGAGTAAGTATGTCACCAGTGAAGTGTCCAAAAAGCATCTTTATAGACTCATGCACATAATGTCACAAACAAGGCAACGTTTTGGGGACACTCTGAGTTCCTTCACCAGGCTCAGTATGACATCACGATGAAGGAACCCTTCACTCCAGTGTGCTGGTGACATACTTACTCTTCTTAGATTGGAACAGTGCCTTCCGCAGCCACTCCAGCACCCATCTTCTAGGGCAGTGGTTCTCAACCTGTGGGTCGTGACCCAAAAGTGGGTCACAATCCACAGTTGAGGGGGTCCCTACATGCCTTGTGCTGCTCTAGGTAAGAGGCTCCTCAGCCTCCTTCTAGCGCAGCAGTGTCAATTCTCCTAGATAGCGCCGCAGCAGCAGCGGCCGGAGAGGATCAGAGAGAGGGGAGCAGGCAGGAATGAGGGGAGGTGAGTGCTTGATCACCACAGAGCCCACACTGGGCACCACAGAGCCCCACTGGGCACCACAGGGGCCGCACTGGATGCCACCAGAGAGCCCCACTAGCCACCTGAGAGCCCGCATAGCCTCCTGAGAGCCCACACAGATACTAGTATTGGTGCATCCCTAAATTTTACGGTTGGGGGTCACCACGACTTGGCAAATGTTACCAAGGGGTCCCGGCCCTAGAAAGGTTGAGAACCACTGCTCTAGGGGCATACTGGTAAGGTGTGCGGCGGGATATCCATTGGACATTTTAAACTCACAACAGAGTTGCCAAGGTCTCTGCCATCCTCTTACCAGTGTTAGAAGCAGGTTCAACCCTGCAATGCAGCTCACTGGCATTCAAGGGCCCATTTTCAGTAAATGTGGGTCATGTGATTGGCAGTTGGACCATCCCCCACCCCACTGCCTAAAATATATATAAATGCTCGGGAAGAAGAGTAGCAGAAAGTATGTTTTAGGTTTTTTTTCCCGTTTTTCACACAAATGTCAAAATGCAGATTATGAAGAACTTTCCGGGCTGACAAGACTGCAGATCCCGAGACAGTGGTGCCGGTGGCTGCCGGGTATTAGTGACAACTAACAGTCCTGAATTGAAATGTCTCCTACCTGCTATAGGTAAACAGGGACAACCATGAACAATTCCAACAGGTCTGTCTGGCACTTTTATTCAGCAATGCAGCAATTTCCTGACTTGCAGGGTGCCCCTCCCCCAATGGGTTCCTCAACACCAACAGGCAGCGCTTATACGTTTTTAGTGTTCTGTCAGCACTCAGCCTTTTCAGCCCGCAGCAGGACCCCATAGTAGAGAGAAAGAGAGATCCCTGCGTCCTGAGGACACCTGAGACTAATAATGAGGTCTGGCTACCAGGTATGATTTGGATGTAGGTATGGAGGCTTCATCCCACCCTCCTATTCAAACCTTTCAGGACCCAGAAGAGGACTTTTTAAGATTTTGAGAGCCTACAAAGTACTCTCCACATTCCTGCCCAACCAGTGCTCACACGTCATCACTGAGGTAAGAGCTGCTGTATTGATCTATGGGGCTACAGGGCACGTTGGGTGTCAATGGAGGGCTGTGGATGAACTTTGGGTATCATTGAAATGGTGTGATTGAGGTTTATTTTACCTCAGGCCATAAGCAGGGCCGGATTCACTCTCCCTGCTGCCCCAAGGTCAGGTCCCTATAATGTTTTATCTTATTTATATTTATTAATTTTTTTATAATTATTCTTATTGCTATTACATAGGGGGATA